CAAGTGATTGCGCGTTTGAAACCCGTCATCACCTATAAAACAAGTGGGGGTTGCTGATGGTCTTATTGCAATTTTCCTCTGCACAAGGGCCAGAAGAGTGCTGTATTGCTGTTGAAAAAGCACTCGCTTGTTTTTTGCAAGAGGCAAAAAACAATGGAGTAAGTGCTGATGTATTAGAATCTTGTCCTTCTCGACATGGTTTAAAATCAGCGCTTATATCCCTTGATGGTGAACAAATTCAAGCGTTAATCGATGACTGGTGTGGCACAATTCAATGGCAGTGCCAGAGTCCACTTCGTCCGAAACATAAACGTAAAAATTGGTTCCCTGATGTTATTCCATTTTCACCGCTGACCGAAATTACTCAAAGTGAAATAGAATATGAATTTATCAAAGCGCAAGGACCTGGCGGGCAACATGTTAATAAAACCTGCTCTGCTGTTCGAGCAAGACATATTGCCAGTGGGATCTGTGTGAAAGTTCAATCTGAACGTAGTCAACACGCAAACAAAAAGTTAGCTAACCAGCTAATTAATTGGAAATTAAGTGAATATCAATCACAACAATTAAGTGACTTAGATAAACAAAGGCACCACTCCCATTATCAAATTGAGAGAGGTAATGCGATAAGAATTTTTTCTGGTAGCGAGTTCAAGCGCCTGAAATAACCTTTCGATGATGGCTATACCAAGGCACAGTAATAATCATTGCTGTGCCACATATTTCATGACGTTGTCTTAATGATAAAAATTAAACTGAATAAATTATGATAGCCTATTCATGGCCAATTACGAATGTAATAGTTGCCGTATTTTTTACATTTGGTTCATATAAGCTACGGCTATTTTTTTCAGCCCAATAGAATTCAGACATTTTCTCCGATAGTATCAATTCGCCATGATCAGGCTCAGTATTTCGCAGCTCCGGTTGATACTCAACAATGAACTCATGGTAACTCGCTGTTATTTCTCTATCAATAGAAAATGGATAGTGATGTTTCAACATAAAACTTTCTAGCTCATTAATTTTAGTTGAAATAAAAGAGATATCAATTTCAAACTGCTGAAGACGTAAAGCTAACTCTTCTAAGTAGACCCCATTCCCCCTATTATCATTTTCTAAATAGATACAGAGGTCTAGTAACTTTTCTTTTTCGTCTCTTTCCTCATAAAGTTGATTCAATTGTGAATTATAGTAATTAATAACATTTTCTTTTGAAATTTTATAATTATTGATGCTGATATTGATTTCTTTTTCCATTATTTTTACTCCATTTATATTGATTAAAAATATAGTAACGGACTCAAATAACTATACCATTGTTATTTCCTTACCAATAAAAGCTAACTCAGTATGATAAAAATACAAACACATTATTTTTTAATAAAAGCCATTTTTTTATTATTATAAATTAAAATCAAAATTAATAATATCAATGGCTCATATCGTTTTTACACATATCGTCTTGGTCGTACTCTAATTACCAACCTTTGGCAACATTAAATTTAAAAACCATTTTTCAGTTAAAAACCAACCGGCAATACTTTCGCGAACTTGCTCTGTCGGTAACACTTCATGTGGGAATTCTTCTGACATAAAAAAGATCATTCGGCCAACAAGCGGCTCTAATTCAAATAATTGATTATCTTCTTTATCGTAAACGACCAACTCCCCACCATCTCCTGGTTGCCATGCCGCATTCATATATAGCACAGTGGTAATTTTACGCCGCCCTTCTCCGCGCGGATTATCAACATGCTTTTTGTAAAATGCACCACTTGGGTAGCGACAAAAATGAGTCTCAAAATCACGCAGCCCCAGATAGAGTTGGCAATTCAACTCTTGACGGATCTGCTCCATTTTATCCATATACTGAACGACTGGATCCCCCATTTCGGGCTCTAACCAAACGGTTTGGTCTCCTCGAATTGTTTTATTACCTTGAAGCGAATCACGATGGCCAATACGCGCATCTTGCAGGGTATTTGGAATACAGTTTTTTATGGCTTGGATATCTGATGGGATCAAAAAATCGTCCCACACATACCAGCCCTGTGTAGAAAGTGAATCAATAAGTTTATGAATTGACATGATGAATCTAAGAAAGGTTATTCGGTAAAATTTTATACTTTATGGCGAGATAAAAATAAAATTAAAAACTTAAATCTTCATGATTAGCACTTTGAATTAAAATAAACATCCTAAAAAGAAACGTTTAATTTATTGAAGATTATGGAAAAATTACCAACAACATTTTAAACACATCATCTAAGTACAGAAAATTGACATAAAAAAGCAAACGCTGATGTATTAAAAAATCATGCGTTTGCTATTCTCAATCAAATGATTTAAATGTTTTCAAGTCGTGCGTAAGACGCCACCAACCACTTAATGCCCTGTCCTTGGAAAGCGATTTGCAGACGGCAATGTTCTCCACTGCCTTCTAAATTGATAATGGTCCCTTCGCCAAATTTAGGATGCATCACGCGCTGCCCTAAAGCATAACCTGAATCATTCTGCGTTATCGGTGTCCCTAGTCGTTGATGGCTGACTGGTCGAGACACTGTCGCTCTTAATCGAACCTCCTCAACACATTCAACAGGAAGCTCACCAATAAAACGTGATGGCTTGTGATACATCTCTTTACCGTATAAACGACGACTTTCCGCGTATGTAATCGTGAGTTTTTCCATCGCACGCGTGATCCCGACGTAAGCTAAGCGACGCTCTTCTTCGAGACGCCCGCTCTCATCCATCGACATTTGGCTCGGGAACATCCCCTCTTCCATTCCCACAATAAATACCACAGGGAATTCTAAGCCTTTCGCAGAGTGCAATGTCATTAATTGAACGGCATCTTG